GCGGAGGTCTGCCTGGCACAACGTCTGCGCTCCGCCCTTCCCTGGCGCGGGCGCTCTCTGAATCCCACTGCACAGCCGAATGGACGCCTGAGGAGCCCCGCGAGCGTGCCAGCAGCGTGAGCGCTGCTCGGGAACTGCAGCACGGGGCGCCGCCTGCTCCGATCGCCCTCCACCGGCGGCCTCCCGAGGCCCCGCCAGGGGCAGCGCCACGCCGTGGCGGCTGCGGAGTATCGCTGCCGTCCGGGGTGGGCGGACGGGGTCTGCCCGCAGGTATGGACGCCCGCTCCCGGCGCGCCCACCTGCCAGGCTGTGAAGGGCGCCGCCCGCTGCGCTCCGCAGCCCCCCGCGGTAGTACTCGTCCTTCTGCGCCGCGCGGATCACCTCCGGAGGGCTGGCTGCCCGTGCCATGACCGCACTGTCCACGCTCCGGAACGCACCGCTGCGGCTGCGCAGCGATGACGCGCGACGTGGCTCGACGAGCGGCGCAGGCCTCGCGCGACGCGCGCAAGGAGGCGGGGCCTGATAGCGTCATGCGGGGGGTGGGGGAGGCGGTGCAGGGAGGGCCGCGCCAGGCCAGGAGGCGGGGCCAGGATCGGAGGCGGAGCGACGCCTGGGGCGGGGCCTTCCTGGGCGGGGCCACGCCTGGTGGGCGGGGCCTGGGAAGACCGGGGTCGGGGCAGGCCCGGGTGGGGGCAGGCCCGCCGGAACTCGCGGACCCTGGCAGCTCTGCTCCCGCGGATGAACTGATGACTGCGAGAATGAATGGGAGCAGGGCGCGAGCGGCCACGAGGGGACGGGGCCTGAGGGGCGGGCCTTGTTGGTGGGCGCAGCCTCGCTGCGGTGGTGGGCAGCGCTGAGCGCAGAGCGCCCGTCTCGAGCAGCCGCGGGAGGGTGCGGGCGGCCTCTGCCCGGCGCGCAGGACGGGCCGCGGCCCCAGCTCCGGTGCGGTCTCGGGGCTCGGCCTCCAGTCGGAGTGGTTCCGCGGCAGGCAGGTCCCTCGGAGGACGGGCTGCCCCCGTGTCCGGTCCTGGGCTCCTACGCGGAGGCCGCGTAGCGTGGACCCGCGGAACGCGGCCCGGCAGGGTCGGGAGGAGCGCGCGTGGAGCGCCTTTCGGAGGGCGGAGCCCGGAAGGGCCGGCAGGGGGCGCCGTCGGCCCGCGTGCGCCGCCCCGAGGGCTCTTGCTGGAGGGAGGCACCTGTCCCTCGCTGCCACGGGCCTCCCCATCCGGAGTCACGGTGCTCCGAGGCACTGGTAGAACACACGGCTTTCTGGAGAAAGCCACAGCCCGGGACAGAGGTGACGGAGGGCTCAGCCCAGGCCTAGGGCTCTGATCTCCGCCTCTTCCCCACGGCCACCAGCAGCTGCCCCATCTTCAACCAGTTAGCCCCGCCTAGCAAGCCTCTTGGTGACCATGCTGGGGGTGCTTCTGGGCTGGCGTTTGGTCGTTTGCCGGAGGGTCACACCACCCCTCGGCAGTGCCCGGGCCTCGCCGGTCTGTTGGCCGGGATGGAGGTCGTAATCAGCTGTTTCTCAAGAGCCTCCGGTGCTATGACCCAGCACACGGATGCTGGGCTCACGTGGAGGTGCAGGCTGAGTGGGTGGGTCTGGGTGGGCATTCTGCCCTCTGCAAAACAGGCTACCCCATCCAGGGGCAGCCCTGCAGCTCTCACCGCAGTTGAGGGGCCAGGACAGGGGAGAGGCTCTTGTAGGCTCCCCGTCGGTGATCCCTGCTAGGTGCGCACCAGCAGCAGCAGCAGCAGACCAGGGGGAGCACATGGGCGAGTTGGGAGCAGGCGCACACAGCGCCCAGTACAGCAGCATCTGAAAGGCGGACAGGCGGGAAGGGCAAAGGCAGGAAGGGGGCAGGGGCATGGACAGGAAGGAGGGAGGAAGAGCCGCTGAGCCAGCTTTCCCAGCCACCCCCCCAAGTGGGGGCACTGTGGGTTGCACTCCTGTTCTGGGAATGGGGTGCTCCCAGGTGACCCCCTGGGCCTCCCCCGATGGTTCTCTCAGCAGCAGGACCCCCTTGCTCTCTGCAGCTCTGTTAGGGCGGCTGTATGCCAAATGCCAAGTGCCTGGGTGCTTAGGAAAGCAGGGTGGTGGTCTGGGTCCCCATGGGGTGGGGGTGGGCTCTGGCCTCCATGTGGGGAACCATGGTGGTTGTGGCTGAGGGACTGAGCAAGAGCTAGTGTCCACTGAAGCACCAGAGGGAGCTTGGAAAGGATGGGGCCATTGGGGTGTAGCCAACTGGGAGGAGGAAGCCCCACCAGCTGCCCAACCCAGAGAACAGGTTTCTCCTGTTCAGGGTCAGTGACTGGAGCTGGAGGCCCATGAGGTGGGCGCTGTCGGGGAGAAGGGCTCTGTGGGTGGGGACCATCCAGGGCTGGGTGCAGAGCCTCGGGCTATCCTGTGGGTGAGGGTGGGTGGGCTGCTCTGGGGCAGAGGTGGGGCCCTTGGCCAGGACCTGGCTGTCCCTGTGCTGGTGGGGACAGGAAGACACGATTCCTTTGTGTGACAGAGCAGGGCCCATCACCTGCACCTGAGTGGGGACCAAGAAGGGGTGGGTTGTAGGGAGCACAGGGGCCCGGCTCTGCCCACCACACTGGTGCTGCTTTATCTTGTGGCCAGGCATGAACTTGTTGGACAAATGCGCGGGGGTACGGCTGCTGTCCTGAGCTGAGCTGGCTGACAGTGGACAAAAGCTGGGCACAGGTCCCAGAAGGGGAGATGGGGACGCTTTCCTGGGGAGGGGAAAAGGGGAGGGGCAGGAGGCAGGAGGAGAAGAGGCCATGTGTGCCCTGGGAGGAGGCTGAGGGCTCTGTCAGGCGAAGCGCAGCTTCCTGGCCTCCTGGGGTGGCCACCCAGTGGGCAGCAGGTGAGGCTGGAGAGGCCTGGGAACAGCATCCATCCATTCTGGGGTAGAGCCAGGTCAGCTCTGTCTTGAGGCTCTGTACAGACAGATGGGGCCTTGTGGCTGGGTTTCTGGGGCACATACTGGGGCCCTTGAGGCCCCATGTCTTACCCTTGCAGGGAGCGGGCAGCTGGGTGTGCAGAACCTTCATCTCTGCTGCCTGCAGGTATGGTGTGGGCAGGGCCTCAGCTCCCACCGGGCAGGTGGAGTGGCAGGGTCTGGGATCTGCAAGCTTGTGGCCAGGAGAGCCCACACTCCTCACCCAGAGAGGTCAAGCTCCAGGTTCCCGGGAGGAGGTGGCAGGAGGGTGCAGGGTGGGCTAGCTTCTGGTGGCATGGGCTCTCCAGGCCAGTGGGAGCCGCCCCAGACACCCCAGACCCGAAGAGATGAGGCAGAGCCCACCACTTCCAACCACTCGTGACTGCCTCAGGGCCTTTAGGTTTCAGATTGGGGCAGCAGCCGGATGTGGGAGCTTGTACGATGGGAGACTGAGGCAGGAGAGTCACGAAGTCTAGCCCAGCCTGCCTGGGCTACTTAGTAACTTAATGCTCTGTTTCAAAACACACAGACATGTCTGGGGATGCAGCTTCGTGTGAAGGCCCTTAGTCCAGTGCTCTGCAATGCAGGACAACTAAAATGATCAGAGAAGCAACGTCATCACAAGTCGGCTGAGGGCTGGCCAGGTCGCTCAGCGGACTACAGCGCCTGCTTGGGCAGAGCGCAACGGCTGGGGGTTGGATCCTCCCGGTGCTCTGCTGGCCCCGCCCCCAGCACGCTGAGATGGTGATTGAGACTGGGTGGCAGCGCACCCTGTAATCCCTGCTCTTGGGAGGCTGAACAGAGACAGATTACTATGAGTCCCATCTCTGTAGTGAGACCCTGTAGACCTGGTACTAAATAGAAAACCCCAACAACAAACAAGCAAAAACAATGACGTTGGCTGAGCCTCAGGCCGACACCGCTGCTCAGGGCTCCGCTGGGCCTGCGGGAAGGGCTGGGCTCGGGGGTCAGCACTGCCTCCTGCTGCCCTCTTTCCTGGAACAGAACTAGACAGTGCCCCACCTCACCTCCTGCTTTCACTCCTCTGACCCAGAGCCTTCGATGGCTCCCCCGTGCCCCCAGGGTGCAGCGCCAGCCTGAGCTGGCATTCGTGCCTCCATGCCAATGAGGGCGCCCTGAGGGGCTGCTCCACAGGCAGGAGGCTGGTCAGGCAAGGCAGCCCAGGGTCTCAGGAGGCACTGCTCTGCTGTGGGGGAGGCCTTCCCAGCACCCCAGCAGGGCTTTCTGCAGTCCTGGCGGGCTGCTGCTGGCCTGGAAGGTAGCTCGCAGAGGCGCATACGGATGGGCATCAGGCCCTGGGCTCCATCACAGTGCCTGTCATCCCCTCTTCAGTTAGGGCCAATGTGTTGTCGTGGTCCTGGGGACCCTGAATTCTGGGCGAGTGGGGAGGGTCAGGGGCAGCTGTTTGGAGCCCCAGGCCAGACGCTGGACAGCGTGGACCTGGGGCTGTGGCCTGGGGCTGGCTGGTCTGGAAGCCTGAAAATGGCAGATGGGGCGCCTGGCAGAGGCCGGAGCCCAGCACTGAACTTGGGGCCTCCGCTCCTGGGGAGGAGGCCCAGGCCGCCTGCCTCTGTGCACACGGCATGTGGGCCCGTCCCTTCAGTGTGGCTGCCCGCTGGCCCACTGCCTCAGTGCGGAGCCCCTCTTCCTGCCCTGGGCCTCTCTGCTCTGCCTGGCCCACCCTGCGCCGTCGGACTTAGAGCAGCCTCATGCTGCCCTGCACGGTCCTGAGGCTGTGGCTGGTGGTGTGCCTGGCAGCCTGGATCCTGTCGTCCTGCTTGGGGACCTTGCCATGGTCCAGCCTGCTCAGGAGCTGGTTGTCAGCACCAACTGTCCTTTTCTGCGGGCACCTCGGGGGGTGGCCGGCTGCGCCCTGCTGGGATCCCAGGCTGTGCTGTCCTTCAGCCAGCCCTGGGGCCTTTGCCTGGCCCCCCACGGCTGTTGCTGGTGAGTGAAACCCCACTGGTGCCCCTTGTACCTGCGCCTGAACTGCCACTGCCTCCCCATGAGCTTGGTGCTGCCACAGGGAGGCCACTGGCACCTTTGGGGCTCTGGTCATCGGCTAAGAGCTCAGCAAGTGCTGGGTCAAAGACAGTGTGTGGCAACTCCTGTGCCCTATCCCATCTGACCTTCCCTACTGCCAGGCTGGGCTCCTTCAGGGCCACTGGGAGCTGCTGGCATGGGCTTTCTCTGCTGCTAGGACTCTCAGAATGAGCAGTGCCGAAGGTTTTGGTCTCAGGGACCCTCTGCCCTCCTCTTTTGGGGCAGGAGGCAGGGTCTTGCTGTATAGCCCGCACTGGCCTTGAACTCAGGTCGATCCTCCTGCCTCAGCCTCCCCAGTGTTGGGATTAGAGGCGGCACTGATGACCCCAGCTTCCTTGGCCTTCTCTGCTGCCAAGGAGCCCTGAGATCTTCTGTTTAATCCGGAAACCCCAGGGTGGGCCGGGATTTCTGGGCCAGCTTTGATGCCAGTCATTTGTGAGCTGGCTGTTGAGTGTGGCCAGTATTCAAGTCAAATTACACCAATTACGTATGTAAAACATAGATTACATTAAAATCCAAAGATGGTAGACACTCGAAACATATCGTGCTCTAATTATTACCATCCTCCCGTTAGTCTGCCCTTATCTAGCTGTGATTTGATTGTGTCTAAGTAGGAATAAACACACTATGTGTATGGCGGAAGTTTTCGGAGATGGGCCCCCAGGCTTCCCTGCAATCAAAACGGAATGCTGAGGATTTACATTAGAAAAACCAGCTTGTACACTAACATCTTTTGTCTTAAGAGAAAGCACGCATGCTGTAGGATCACGCCACTGGCCGTGCTTTGCTGTTTGTGTCTTCCCAGCGCGGGAGTCAGCGGTCCCGCTGGCGCCTGGGAATCGCTCCCATGGAGACGAGTGAGAGCCAGCCCGACCCTGAGAGCGGGTAAGCCTGGAGCAGCTGTCCCGTTGGTTGCCGCATGCTTCCGTTAGAAATCAGTGACACTTGAAGAGCATTTATTTAGGAGGCCTTGTGAAAAATAACAACAAATTGCACATTAATATACACAGCATTTACAGGAACAGTTTACAAAAAACTACTTGCTTGAAACAGAAACTCGGTGAGCAAAGCGACATGCTTTACATCTTTGCAAATCTCCCAGGTGTCTGGTGCGGGCCTGACAGCTGGATTCGCCCAGGGCCCGTGGCGCATCTGTCACCTGTGCTGTGAAACCTGGCCTTGAGGACAGATGTGTGGTGGTGGCAGTGTCTCTGAGGTGGCTGCATGCTGGACCTGGGTGTGTTGCAGCTTGTGGCGTGTCCCGCGGTGGCCTCGGTGGTCTCTCCCACCACGAGCGATCTTCCCCACGGTGGGTGGACCACATGTCTGGAAGCGCCGGCTCCGGCGGGTGCAGATTTCCCCAGTGCAGACCATCTCAGCCTTTGATGTCCAGAGATCCCGTTAGCATCGCCACCGCTGAGCTCCAGCACAGCCTTCAGCGTCCGGGAGCCGGCAGGCTCGCAGTGGTGGGTATGAAGTTTACAAAGGGCTAATTTTCACTCCAAGCTGGAGCCTCGTGATTGAGATAGATCTTGTGACTTCTTTGTTTAAGTAACAGGCTTTCTGCAGTTTGTCTTTTTTCTTTCTTTCTTTCTTTCTTTCTTTCTTTCTTTCTTTCTTTCTTTCTTTCTTTTTCTTTGAGATGGGCTCTGGCTTTGTAACCCAGGCTGGCCTTGAACTCCTGGGCTGAAGTAATCTTCTTGCCTCTGCTTTCCCAGCCGCTGGGACCCCAGACATGCGCCCCCACGCCTTGCTCCCTTCTTTGAGAGGTATCTGTCAGAGCTGGAGCTGGCACAGCAGGGGGCACATGCCAGCTGCCTTCCACTGATGGCTGCTCCGCACCTTGGGCCGTGCCCCCAGGCCTGCTGTGCTGTGCCTTCGGGTAGACCCTTTTCCGCACAGGATGATGGGCACGAGAGTCGGGGTGAGTGCTGCGCCAGGGAGAAGGACTCCCTAGCATCGCTCTGGGTGGTGGCCACAGCGCTGGCCTTAATTGAGGCCAGGTGGAGGCCTGCGGTGTCACCCACCCTCCCTGTGAATGTCAACATGGGGCAAAGGTAACACCTCTGTTGGGAAAGTGGTGGGGACCTTGTGGACACCCAAAGGTTCTGTGGGCCCCCTTAGGGCAGCAGCACGCTGTGGCTCCTTACCTGCTGCATGCCACGTTCTGATTTCTACTGTCTCCACTGGGCCTGGGCCTCCAAAGCTGTTTCCTTCTGCATGGCCCTTCTCATTTCTTGCTCCTGACTTGGCGTGCTCTGTACCTGAGTGCCCTCTGGGTTGCCCCAGCACCTTGCTCCAGGCGGCAGGGGGAGCTCCGCTCAGACTCTGGGCCTGGTCTCTGGGCACTGGGTACCAAATGCTCTGCGACCCACAGCTAAGCTTCCTCGGTCCATGGCGCTCCGGGCCCAGCTCCAGCTCTGCGTTCCCTGCTGGACCCAAGCCCAGGGTGGGCAGTGGGGCCTGGGCTGGGAGGGCAGGGCCTCTGGAGAGGGTACTGCTCCTGGCCAGGCTTGGACCTGCTCTTCCCAGCATCACCAGTTCACGTCCAGACACCACAGCCAGGGCAGCAGGGGGCTGGCAAGTGGCAGCTGACTTGCTGGGATGAGGGTCAGCCCTCAGGGCTTGGCAGCAGGTCCCAGGGAGCCGGCAGGGGTGGGCGTGGTGCTCTCTCTTGGCCGCAGTCTCTCTTTTCAGAGAGGGGGTTTATCTGTGGTCCAGGTGTCCTCAGGGCCTGGGGCCAGAAGGAAGGCTCCCCATCTGACACCCTGAGCCAGGGATGCCAGGTGAGGGCGTGGCCTCGCCTCCTGGCACTGACGCAGAAGGTGGGAGGCGGCAGGGGAGGGTGCAGGGAAGGCAGGCCGGGGCTTGCGGGGGGCCTTGCTGGCACTGCCGGGGAAGGGGCCACCATAGGCCCCGGAAACGGAAGCCATTGAGAACTGGCCGCGGTGGGGAGCTGTCTCAGGATTCATAGCAGAGAGGTATGTGGTCCCTGACCCAGGGGAGGGGGGTTGCAGGGGTGAGGACTGCTTCCTGGGAGCCCCTCATTCTCAGGATCTTGGGAGCACAAGGCCACTCCCTTCCTGGAGGAAAGTCTGCTGGTCGGGGTGTGGATGTCACCCCCCTGGGTCCCTGCCAGGCACTCGGGATCAGGGCTGGACTCCCCGATTAAACAGCAACGGGGCAGGAAAGCTCGCCTCCAGGTCCAGCCTGCCCTACATGCAGCCACCAGTGTGTGGACATCCCCGACGGAGCCAGTTCCTGAGGGTTGGAGCAGGGCCAGAGTTCTGAGGCCAGAGGCTTCGCCACCTTGGCCTGTGGTCTGGGCATCAGCCTGAACCCCATGGTGAGCCCAGGGGAGACAGGCCCGACCAGATCAGTCTGCCCCTTCCCTCGCAGCCCCCAATCACTAGCCCCCACCCTGCCCTAGAACATGCCGTGGCTGGTGTGAGGACAGCATAGAGGGCCATCTTCTGGGGCTCAGGTGGGTGTGGGGCTTCTAGGTGCCAGGTGTGGCAGGGCTTGTGCCAGTGGCTGACCTCATGGTCCTTGGTGGCCACGCCTCGGCCTGTGGCAGCTGGCGTGTGCAGGGCTGTTTCCTAATTTGGCCCCGTGGTGCCAGCCCAGCCAGAGCCCCATGCCTGGCCACGTTCTGACAGGCGTGTTGAGGCACAGCTGCTACGGCCGAGCAGGAAGCTGACGTGCAGGCAGCTGGTGGTGCTGACTGGGCTGTTGCTGGGCTCGTGCTGGGGGCCAGGGAGACCCTGGGCTGGAGACCCCAGTGCTGTGGTGAGCCGGGGGCTGGGCCAGCAGTGGGGACCCAGGGAGCGGAGGGGACCCAGGTGGAGGAAGAGAGCCTTGGCTCAAGGGGAGCTGAGGGGAGGGGGCACTTGCCTTGTGCCTGGATGCCTCCTCATGCTGGCCATGGGGCCTGGCGGGTCCAGGTGTCTCCACAGAGATGCCTGTCCTGGGCAGCTCAGAGGGCTCCGGGTCTTCTGGTCCCAGAGAAGGGAAGGAAAGGCACTGAGGAGAGGCGCCAGGAGGCTCTTGGAGGAGCTGGTCCAGGACTGCAGTGGTCGGATGCTGGGCAGGGAGGGGTGGGCAGGGAGCTTCCAAGCAGGGCCTGGCAGAGCTGGCCCTGGGGCCCCGGAGCAGAGCAGGGTGCTTGTCGGAGTGTGCAGCTCAGAGGTGGTGAGCAGGGGACTAGAGCACTGACACACAGCCTCCCAGGGACAGTGGCCTGGGAGACCACGGGGCCCCCACTCGCAGCAGGACACAGGTGGGGCTGAGACCCTGGACATGCATTAACCCTGCCGAGAGACCACTCTGGGAGGGCCCAGGGAGCCCCGGGCCACCCTGCAGACTGCGGGGCTGCCGGGGCTGGGTATTCTGGGCGCCCAGCCCTGCGGGGCTTGCTCTGTGAGACTGGCCAGCTCCCGGCTGCTTCTCAGCGGACAAACTTTGAAGAGAGTCTCTGGCACTCGGCGGGCATGCTGGCAAGGAGGCCTCTGACTGCGCCCGCTCCACACCAAGCACAGGAGTGCCCACGCCCTTGGCTCCAAGGCCTCCCCGCCTGGCAGAGGGGCACTGTTTTGTGGACTGCGTGGAGCTGGGCTGCAGGTCCTCTGGGGTGTGCGGCCCGCTGTGGTGTCCACACTGCCCCAGGCCGCTTTCCTGAGCTCCACAGGCCCCGCTGACTCTGCTCTCTTGCTCTCCAGGCGTGCGACAGGCGATAGGCCCAGTGTTCACGCCTGCAAGGGACACTGGGGGAGCACAGCCACCTGCAAGCAGCCTCCGGCCTCCTGCTGACCCTGGCCGCCCTGCCACTAACGGCCACCGCACCCCTTCCTCCAGCATGGCTCCCCCGCCGCCCGGGCCCCTCATCCCTGCCCCTCTGCCTGAGGACCCAGGGCCTGCTCTGGAGAGCAGATGGCTTTTCCTGAGTGCCAACGTTCTGCCTGTGGGTAAGTGAGGCCACGCTGGGCTAGAGAGAGAGGTGTGCCTGCGGAGGGACCATCCTGGAGCCCTGGGGAGGATGGGCTTCGCTAGGGGCCCTGTGGCTGCACCCCCCAGCCCCGTCCCCCTCAGGGAGCTGCAGCAGTACAGGGCGGCCAGCATGTGTTTGCTTCTCTGTGTAGGCCGCGTCCAGCTGGCTGGACGCAGTGAGTCGGGCAGTGCCTCTGGGAAGGGGCGGGGTTGGCCTCTGTACCCAGAAGGCCCAGGTTGGGCCCGAGCAGCTTCCGGGTCAGGTATGGAGACCTGCGTGCCGCTCCCCTACACTCCCCAGCTCTGGCTGCCGGCTGCCCCGGCCTGCTGTGTGTATTCCTGTTTGCACTGCGCCTGGCTTTGCAGCTGGCTGCAGCTTGTTCACCCCACACTTCCAGATGGGCCCGGACAGGTCCCCACCAGCCCTGGGCGGGGAGGCGCCATTCACACACACCGCCCTGCCGCCCCAGCTTTCATCTCAGTGCTGCCTGGCAGACCCTGGGGAGCAGGATTCCCCGTGGGCAGAGCAAGCAGAGCTCCTGGGTCTCAGCTTGGTGTGCTGATTCTGGGTTGGGCAGGTCTCGGCCTGGGGGTTGCTCTGAGGGCAGGGGTCAGGGTTGTGGTCTGCTGCGTCTTCCTGGTCCTGCTCTGTGCAGCCAGCCCTGCCTTGGCTGTGCCACTCAGCCCCCCACTATGTGCAGGGTTCAGCAGGTTGCCCACGCGGAGTGGGTGTAGGGCAGCTCTGGGGGTGTCCCTGGCTCAATGAGTTCAGGGTCCTATGCAGGCAGCTTGCATAGGAGCCAGCCACAGGTAGGGCCCAGTCTGTGTCACCCCTACCCTCCGACCCCAGGCCTTTGCATGGGGCCAGACCCTGTCTCCAGATGAGCAGCTGGGCTGTCAGAGGCTAGAGCTGAGCTGATCCCCTGCCCCCAGCCTTGCTGCTCAGTCCCATGAGGGTGCGCAGGTAGGGACATGGAATGGCTGCTGGGGGAAGGGGGCTCGCCAGCAGGGCTGGGGCTGGGTGTGGTGGAGACCACTGCACGTCCAGCAGGGCCCTGGTGGCTACGGCCCCTGTGCAGTGTCTGCCCCAGTTCTGCGTATCCGTGGTAACGAGTTTCAGGGAGCGTAGCCCAGTCTGATTCCTGGGATGCAGGGAAGGGTATATAGAGATGCTTGTGCCTGACAGGAGGAGGCTGCTACATTGTTAGGGTGTGGCCCTGGTCCCCAAACTCAGGGCCTTGAAGTGAGGAGGCTCCCACGTAGGTGCTGAGGCCTCACTGTCCTAGGCCCATCCCTCTCTGTCCCTGACTGAGAACTCACCAGGTTCCTGGAGAAGCCAGTACCCCTCCCCACCCTGTGTGCCTGGGGTCACAGATGGCAAAGGTGAAAGGTCAGAAGTAGCCAGCACTGGGCTGGACAGACACCAGGGCGTCATTTGTAGGGAGGGTGGTCCCTGGCTCCCAGGCTTTCAGAGCTGTCCCACAGACACCTGGCCACCTCACACACCTTCCCGTGGGCCATGGGGGAGGAGGCCGAGGCAGCTGCACCCTTCTCTTTCTGGGACTCCATGCAGCCCGTCCTTCTCCCAGTGCATGGGTGGCATGGAGGTACACAGGACTGCGTGCGGCCACCCCTCCGAGGTGGGCTGCACTTGCCTCTGGAGAGCTGGCAGCTTTGCATACTCGCAGTGGGCAGGGCTACTGAACCTATAGCGTGGAGGGCTCCTCCCTCCCCTGCCCAGTCATCATGGCCTGGGCCCAGCGGCTCATGACTCGGGTATGGACAAGGCTGCATGGCTCCTGGAGACAGATGCTTGCTGATGAACCAGGTACACACAGCTGGGCTTCGCCTCGTTGGTGGAGAAAGGACCCAAGTGGCCCAGGGAGGCCTGGTGTGCTGACTGGTGCTGTCCTGCGGGCCCCTGTGTACTGTGGATTCCGGCTGGAGCTGCCTGTCACCAGGGACACCAGGTTCTGGGTGCCTGGGCCATGGGCTGGCTGGAGTGTGCATCAGGCTGTGAGAGCCAGGGGCTTGGCTGAGCTACAAGGTTGGGCTGGAGACAGGAGTCTAAAGGCAGGACATGTATGCCGAGAGCAGGACTCTCCAAGGACCCTACTCTGCGCCATGACGTCTGCCCTTGTATGGCTTTTTCTCCTGGTGAAAGGGAGCCAGGCATGAGGAGCTGCAGCGAGGCACAGGAAGTCATAGACAGATAAAGGTCCAGGCTGCCTTTGCAGGTTGCGGCCTGAGCTCCTCCGGCCCTGGAGTTTGTCCCTGGGGCAGATTTTATTAGGGGTGCTGAGTGCTTTGTTCCTGTGAGGCGGGCCAGAATGGTCTTGCTAACGCACCTTGCTGTGGTTCCGCATGCACACGCAGCTTCGGTTGTTGCTGTGGAGGCTGCAGGTCTACATGCAGCAGCATTTGATCTGCACTGGGCTCTTTGAAGCTCCCGCTTTCAGCCTCTTCCTGAGGAGCTGGAGGAGGTCTCAGCGGTGTGTGCTGTGGCCTCTCCAGGGAGCCCAGCATCTTTCCAGATCTGAGCCATGGGGTGCAGGGCTGGGGCAGTTCTTGGGCAAGGAGGACACATGGACTCTCCTCCAGAGCCACCTGGGGATGGTGACAGTGGCAGCTGCTTGGAGTCTTTGAGGCTGGAGGCAGATAGACGTGTGCCGGCTGTTGCAGGCCATGGGCAGGGCCAGGGCTTCTGTGCGTCCCCGGGCAGGACTGGGGGGAAGCCTCTCCTGGCCAAGGAGACCTGCGTGCACGTCACCCAGCCATGACCCAAGGGGCGCTGTATATTGGGGCCCTTGGTGTCCTGGGGGGCTGATGAATAAGGCTGGGGAGGGGCTGAGGGGTGGGGAGCTGTGAAAGCTGGGGTCCACAGGCCACCGCTGCAGGGGCCCAGGCCAGGATGGCCCAGCAGGAGATAACACCAGTGTCGGACAGCCGGCTGCTGCCTGGGACCTGGCCCCCACCCATCTCTCACCTCTTGCTGCAGCCCAGACCTGGGAGATGAGCGCTTCCCTCTCTGGGCAGCTGGTGGGCAGGTGTGGCCCAGAGCGGGCTGTTCCTGCCTTTGCTGTTCCACACCAGAGCCCTGGGCAGGTGGTTGTAGCTGGCTGCCTCCTGGGCAGAACTTCTGCTGTTCAGGGAAGGGGCAGGGCTGGGCTTCTTCCTGGGGTTCATGGGAGAACACAGAGGAGGGTGTGGGCAGGGCGGTGGCCCTGAGAGGCCAGCTGAAGGGAGCTGTCCTGGATCTGGAGGCACCATGTGGGCGCAGAGCACCATGCACTGTGCCCGGGTGTCCAGCTCTTGAGTGGCCGGCTGGTGCCCCATGCCTCTGGGGCCCACTGCCGGGCCCTATGTGCGCTGCGCTGGGTCCTGGTGCCACAGGCGGGTGAGGGCAGTGTGTAAACTGGCTTCTAGGGTGGGGTATCTGGGTCTTCATTCTCTCCAGCCTCCCAAGGGGGTCAGGCAGTGGCCAAGGGTCACCCTACTTGGCATGGGGCCTTGGATTCCTGTTCTGGAGATTTGGGCTCACCTGCACCTGCCCAGCACCAGGAGTGCTCCCTGCACCCTGCCCAGCCCCGACTCTGACCTGCTGTGGGTGGTTGGCCGCCCTGTCCATGTCTCTAACGCACACTCACTGAGAGCCCAACTTCAGACACACCCCAGCTTTCCTCTCTGGGCAGACTGCTTGCCCCGAGGCATCCTCCAGGCCAGATCCTGGGGACAGCCTTCCGCCCACCACATCCAGTGCCACAGGCATCCCTGTAGGCCCAGGTCCCCACTGTACTCCAGCTCTGCTGCTGCCCTGGCCCAGCCTGGGTAGAACAGGGCCACTTCCCTCTGTCCCCTTCCTGCCCTGACCCCATCCCACACACGTATACACACCCCACACATGAGCTCCCAGTAGACACACAGGCCACACACACACATAAACATACACAATGCACACACATGCACACAAGCACACATATGACACACATGCACATGTGTGCACATGTCCACCACCTTGGCCAGCACCTCCTTGCCAGGCGCTCTGACACTCATGCTCTGAGCTCTGCCCAGCCTCCTCTGTCCACTCCAGCAGTGCCTGCCCTCTGAAGACCCCTCCCACCAGGACCCCCAGCTCCCAATGTCTGCCCAGTGGCTTTTAACAAGCACCTGGTAACTTGGCGGGATGTGTGTTTCTTGCTGGTCACTGGTCTGAGGCCTCCCCCAGGCAGGGTCACACTGAACCGCTAGCCCCCCAGCCGGAGCCCTGGGGTTGCTCAGAGGGAGGCATCAACAGTTGTAGGGTGGCGCAAGTGAATGGAAGGATGCGCTGGCCGCCTGGCAGCCGGTGCTAGCTGGCTGTGCAGGCGGCAGCTGGTGTATAGCAGGGATCTGCGTGGGGGCCCAGGGCTTGGCGCCGTGAAGACAGGGCCTGCACCCTGTGGCCCTGGCAGCAACTCCGTGGGCCAGGGCAGCACCGCAGGGTCTCTGCTGGGGCAACTCCTTCAGCGTCAGCTTCCTGGGGCAGGGTGAGCTCTGTGTGGTGGTGAGGGTTCCCAGGCTACCTGCTTTACCCAGGCTTGGGTGCCCCCCCTAGTGTCCGAGAAGGGCTCCTTGCCTCGCCCCTGCTTTGAGCCCATGGTGGGCCTGGCCCTGACTACACCTCCTTCCTGCTGACTCTGGCTAGGCAGCAGTTGGATAGAGCACTGCCAGCCAGCGTGGCCGAAAGTGAGAGGCCACCCTGCCACCTGCCGCGGCCTCCCTCTGCCCCCGGGCCAGGGGCAGCCAGCTCTGCTCCTAGCTGGGCGTCTGTCTCATCCGACCCTGTGCCTCCCCACCCTGGGAAACTGAGAGTTGCCCTGCCCCACCGTAGGCTCTCCTGACCGGAGTGCTGCTTCAGGCCAAAGACAGCAAGCACCCTGGGGCCCTGGGTAGGTGCTAGCTTCCTCTCTTTGTGTCTCAGTTTCACCCTGCAGAAATC